TGCTATAGGCTTATAGGATTGTGGCATGCGTACGATCCCATTGACTGTGATTGAGGTTATACTACTACTGCTATAGGGATATAGGGTTGTGGCATGCATATGGTACCATTGACTGTTATTGAGATTATACTACTACAGCTATAGGGTTGTGGTATGTGTATAGTCCTATCGACTGTTATTGAGATTACACTACTACAGCTATATGGTTATCGGGTTGTGGCATGTGTAAGGTCTATTGACTGTGATTGAGGTTATACTACTACTGCTATAGGGTTATAGGGCTGTTGCATGTGTATGGTCCCTATTGACTGTGGTTGAGGTTATATTACTACTGCTATAGGGTTGTGGCATGTGTATAGCCCCATTGACCGTGATTGAGGTTATACCAAGGCCCGCTTAGATTGTCGGGTCATCAGCTGAGTGTATAAGCAATACAATTTCTCTTTTTCTCTTTGCCTTCTATACTATACAGTTCGTTTAACAGCCCTCCCGTCTGTGTTTTATTGGCTTTCTGAAGGTGACAGTGATAGCACAGCTTTTTAGCTGAAGAGCGCGTGATACTAGATTTGTGTTTGAGCCCATATGAAAGGTCTGTTATTACACCTAAAGGTATGCCGACATAGACTCCCTGCAATGGTTCTACCTACAGGTATACCTACATAGACCCCCTGCAATGTTTCTACCTACAGGTATACCTACAAAGACTCCCTGCAATGGCTCCGCCTGTCCTTTATGACTATTAACTTCATGTGCTACACTTCATCCCCAATATTTCAGTCAGTGACGTGTAAGAAGAATTGGCACACCAAAATACAAAACAAAGAAATTCGCGACAAGTGGCGCGCTGAGATGACAGACAGTGCCATTTCAACCGACAATGCAATGTGTATGTACGTTGGATGGCTACATGTGCCAATGCACACTTTGTTTATTGATTCATGAGATTATGTGCGATATCACAGTACGCGTGTCAGAAATCACTTTCAAATTTGAGCCTTTTGTGTACAGTGTGTTGTGTGATTCAATCATTTGGTAATATTTTTATCTTGAAGTGGTATGCACATGGTATTACATGAGCATGCGTACTCGAGTGTTATTACCTTTCAGTGTGTTGTGTGATTCAATGACTTGGTATTTCTTTCATCCTGGAGTGGTGTGCACTTGGTATTACATGAGCATGCATCCTCGAGTACTGTTGCATACAGTGTGTTGGTTTGATTGGTACTGCCTATGAAACGGAGGGATGCATTAGCGCTCATTTGCAGTTGACTGTGAGGACCAAAAGACCAACTACTGCACTGGGGATAGTGCCATATCCAACACTTCAAATGTAACATGAAAGGGTTGATGTCAGTCTCACGGCATGAGCCCCGCTTTTAGAGTTTATTTAGGGTCTAACCTAAACCTGAAAACCTTGTACAGGAGGTACTACGGACAAAATCACGGAAGCGGCTGTGCATATATATGCGGTTTTACCTAAAACCCGGCCAACTCTAAAACCCCGATTTTATCATTCAAAACCCTAAAAACAACCCCATTTCCTGGCGCAGCTGGGCCTATCCATCCGACTGTGCTGGAGTGGGCGTTTGATGAGCTGCTGCATTTGGCTGGTACTGTTTGTAAGGCTAATGGCATAGCACCGACCACTGCGCCGTATGTCTATCAGTCGGACAGTCTCATCAGTGCGCACTTGTGCTCGCAGTTGAAGCAGTGTGTGCGTGCGTTGGAGAATTTCACAGACGATGCGTTGGATTATCACCCGGGCACAAATAAACAGGTAGGTATGGATATTACAACCAAACAGGTAGGAATGGATATTACAACCAAACAGGTAGATATTGGTATTACAAATAAATAGGTAAGTATCGATATAACAAACAAACAGGTACGTATGGGTATTTCAAATAAACACCCACTGACTCCATCTCTCCACTGTGCACGTGTGCAGGTGCTTGACTTGATCCATCCGTCGCTGTTCTGTTTGATCAGTAATCTCTCGCGCGTAGTGCCAGAGCCGTTACCCTTCCGCCCACACAGTGCGTGGCTGCAGATATTGGGCAAAGGCGAAGTGTATGAGATTCCTATGCCTGATCAACGTGGCAGTGAGTATGCCACGCACAGTGACACCTACCAATGGCTGCCCAGCGATATCACTGTGGGTGCGGATGGCCAGAGTGTGAGCTTTGATAGCTACATAAACAACCTGCACCCGTACGAGCACGAGGGCTTGTACACTTGTCTGGAGGCCATTCTAGGCCGCTTCATTCCCATGTTTGAGCGCGTGCTGACAGACCTGCGCACTCCGTTGGCGCGACGCGATGACGCGCCAGAAACGGATGAGCTGTACGGCGAATTCGTATACGACGGCGACGGAGACAGCGAAGACGAACGCTATGATGATTGGTACGAAAACAGAGTGCCCAAAATCAAAGAGGAGATGAAGAAGTTCGATGCAACCAAACGCCACGCTGTGTCTGCAGAAACGCTCAGTCTGGCAGGCCGCAAACTGCAGGTACAAAGAATTGGCTTAATAATTGAGAACAATTGGCTTAATATTTAGAAAAATAAGCTTAATAGTTGGGAACAACTGGCTTATTAGATACGAACAATTGGCTTAATAGTTGAGAACAATTGGCTTAATATTTAGAAAAATAGGCTTAATAGTTGGGAACAACTGGCTTAATAGTCTAGTACAATTGGCTTACTAGTTGATAACAATCGGCTTAATAGTCGAGTACAATTGGCTTAATATTTAGAAAAATAGGCTTAATAGTTGAGAACAATTGGCTTAATATTTAGAAAAATAAGCTTAATAGTTGGGAACAACTGGCTTAATAGTTGAGAACAATTGGCTTAATAGTCTAGTACAATTGGCTTACTAGTTGATAACAATCGGCTTAATAGTTAAGAATAATTAAGTGCAACGCTGCTCAATTTGTGCGCACGTCACCGCACAATGGCTCGTACAATCGCACGGGCATATCCGTAGTCTGCAGAAGTGTTGTATGTGCACACCTCAGCAATTGGGGATTACGCCTATCACATGCACGAGAGATGTCTGCACACATTGCGCCATGTCCCGATTCCGTATACACTCGCATTATTTGCATTGCCCTAGTGAGTGTATATCATTTGACCTATTTGAGTTTATGTAGTAAGTGTAAATCATTTTGATCGATTTATATTACTTTAATGCGCATATATCATTGACATTGAGACTAAGTCCTTGCACTCAACATGCCGCAGGTGATAGTGAAAATGGCCAACGTCCGCCTAGAAGGCCCTGGTGCAGCATTCGACGGGGGCCACTGGCACGTGGAAGGCATGGAGAACGAACACATTGTGAGCATTGGCATCTACTACTACGATGTGCACCCAGGGTTGGGCGAGAGTCGCCTGCATTTCCGTCAGCCCACCTGCGAGCCTGAATAGTATGTCTGTCGCAAGCAAGCGAAAGCACCACGCATGTGACCGGTACTCTTGATTGTGTGCACCAATTGATCTGAAGGCGAAAAGTCAGTGTGATTCTACCAATGGGAATGGCTGACATTTCCATTGGGCTTCTACCTCTGCTTGACTATCACACAGGGCAGTGAGGGTTTATCATACTTCTTTGCCTTTTGATTTGCTTCTTTTGTTTGTTGGTGTTCATGGCGTGTTCGTCGTGTTGCTACTGTACTTGATGAAGGAAGGATACGAAAGTGGACATCGGTCTGGTGCAGTTCCAACTTTAGACTATTTGCCTATTTGTATGCAAAAACACGCGACCATTACAAGCAAGTGTGGGTGGATGTTTGAGTGTGTAATACTGAGTGCATAAGTGGCGCTGCTTCTTATCGCAATTATCAATTGGTAAATACTCGTGAATAGCGCGCTTCTGCTGCCACAGTCTGTCCTAAACCCTAAACTCTAAAAACCCAGTATTACTTCTGTAGAAATTTCCACAGTGAGTTGTATTCTAGTGTTTGTGGGCCGGAAACGGGGTCAAAGATTGGATACTTGGCCACGCAAAAACTCCCGATGTAATTGTATACAATGTGCAATGATCATACATCTTGTCACGAGCACGCCATCAGCTTCATGTAAAGCTTCATGTAAAGTGTTTCGAATAGAAATCATTGAAAAGTGCCATACATTCTTTACGATCATTTTCTCATCTGTTCACAATAACCTATTTGCCTTAGTAGTAGCGCGGCAAGGGATCATGTGATATTGTATTCAGACCACTTTGATCACCTTACCTGCAAATAGTGAACAGGGCGATACCCAAGGAGTAGAGGCAGTGTATGGGCTTGTTGACGAGGAAGCTCTGGTGCAGGATGTGGGTGCAGTGACCACCATGGAAGATAGGTGCATCGCATTCCCCAATGTGCTGCAACACAAGGTCCCCGGGTTCACCTGGAAAGAGGGATACACGCCGAATGAAGGAGAAGTGGGCGAGAGAAAGATCTTGGTCTTCTTTCTTGTCGATCCCACACAGCGCGTTATCAGCACAGGTGTAGTGCCTCCCCAACAACGCGAATGGATGAGCAGCGCCATGAAAGACATGAGCGAGCTCACTCAACATTTCCCACCGGAGATCGTCGAGCAGATTGGGAATAAGCTGGAATGGCCTTTAAGTTTAGCACAAGCCAAAGAGCATAGAGAAAAACTCATGCACGAGCGGAAATACTTCACGGATGCGAGCACTGAGCAGTACTTTGAACGACCATTCTCACTGTGTGAGCACTAGGTTCATATAGAGTTCGATTTTCCCTATTAAACAATTAAATATATATATCTATATAAACACTGAATATAAATTTGACCAAAATGTGACTGGGAGAAAATCACTATCAGACATTAGTAACGCAATGGCGTTCATGCAATTCCGCATAGGTCACTGTCGCGGTATTTCTCACTATAAGTCTGCTGGCGTGTTTTATGATCCGATCGTTGCTCGTTCTTAATGAATAACTACTGTACTGGTGATCTTTTTTCACCTTGATTGAAGCGGCTACTCAATTGAGCGTCAGATGGTGTTCGTCACCCCGGTGTGCATTGGGCGTGATTCTGCGTCGTAAAGAAGCAGTTATGATTATACTAAATATTGTTATTAACCGGAAATCAGGCATTTTTGCTTCAATTGTATCGCAACGGTAGCTAAAACGAATGATGGAACATTGCCTACGTATTCTTGCATACTTATTGACCGCTTGACTTGATATACCTAGTGTGTCATGAAATGTTGCCTTCAAATTGATGAAATTAGTCCTGAAGCAGACGAGCTAGCTGACAACGAGAGTTTCTAAGTCACTTGATCGATTTATAAAGATGACTGGCTGACTTTCGAGACCGATATGTTGTCTCATACATTTTAACAGGTTTTATTTTCAGGGTTGTAGTAAAATAGGAACAAGGCATGGGGTCGTTACTAGTATCAAGAGATTAAAGGAGTTAGCTAGATTATAATTCTACCGGCATTACGATTTAGTAGGTACAAGGGTTAGCATGTGAGTGGCAAAATCACGACAGCCGGTATTCGAAGCACTAGTAAATGAGTACATATAGTGGAACAATCTATATTTGTACCGGTAATGTCATATTCTATAGCGTAAACAGAATTTAAACTGTAAACTTTTATGGGCCAGAAAAGAAAGCATTTCGTTTGCAATATCATGTTGGCGGGAATAGTGGAAACTCCAATACGAAATGATCATGAAATTCAAGGTAAACAAGTCCGAAACTCATAAATGTAGAGTCTTCAGCTCGTAGGTCCAAACGGGATGCATTATCAAATGCTGTTTTCTATATTGACAGATGTGCTTATATTGCTAATACCCTAAAAGTAGAAAATGCATCATGGATTATTTTAATAGGCGCTATCTTGCACTATAGCGTGAAAGAAATCGAAGTACAAAAACCGATAGCCTTATTCACGGATCAGACATGAAAAACTACTTCTGGATTTTAATGTTGGTGGCTATGGTATAAGTTTCTATGTGGCCTCTAGCTAGTAAGCCTTAGCTGGGTGCATTACCTGGAGCCGAATCTGTGTTGACAGGTCTGCTAAAATGGCTCTTCTGAAATTCAGAAAGGTAGTCTTAAAGAACCAACAGGGCAGCATTCAAATTGAAATGCAAGTAGTTGTCCCACTGCAAGTGGAGAATTGCCATCCTCTTAGCTATGTGTCGTATGGTGTCTATGGCGAGCGGAATCCATTGCGCGACGGAAATATAAGTTTCATATGCAATATGATTTGCGAGAGCACGTACAGGGTGAAGTGGTGCAGAAATATCCGGCTGATGAATCGATTGGGGTGAAAGACTACAGGAGTTAACATGTTTCCAAATGAGTTAACAGCGATTTACACCGTCAGTCAGATAGTAATTTGGGACTTGTTATCAACTAAATCTATTTATAGGGGGTACAGCCCGAGAACTCATGAGAGTTATTGATGACGTATTCACAAATTGTTCTATCGGTAGGTAGGCCACCGACTCGTCCGAGAGTACGTAACAGAAAAGTGACGTATAGAAATATTTCACGGTACTAAAGTGTTCTGCAAAGGGTTTCTCATACTGATCATACGAGCTTTTACCCTGGGTACTAGTACAAACACCATTAGTATATGATTGAAGGCGAGATCAGAAATACATTCATTCTGAACGCACCATCCTTTAAATACATTATAAATTTATTTATAGCCCAACACCGAACACTCTAACTTGGGGTGCAAGACATAGGTTTGAATATGCATTTGGAAGTGCATCACTTCGACACAGATATGAATGACCATGCTAAACTTGTATATTTTTAACGATGTCGGCATATCAAAAGATCAGCCAGCACCAACTCACCTGGTCAATGTGTGACACTGGAGTAATCGTCCTATGATTCGAATACAACTGTATGCGTGGCTCGGCAGAAACTTGTGGGGAATAAAGCTACATTCTACACACACAACTATCACAAATCGTGGGAGATGTTTTGAATCACTGGTCAGTTAGTTTGTTGGATGGCAAAGCTCGCAGTAGTAGATGCGAGCAGTAGTACATCTCGATTGTGATTCGTATAATCAGCATGGTGTAGTCTTATAACAAATCTATAAATTGACTTCAGCAGCTTCCTTTGCTACTAGGTAGTACATAACTCAAATATTGAAATTGTAGAATTCTCGACACAAACATAACACTTTATGTGTTTTTTAGGCATGACTGATGTGCTAAGAACAGAGTAAGTGACATGACGGCCATGCAATATCAGTTGCTAAAGTGGGGTATAAAAAGATCACATAGAACTTGTTCAACCCTTCTTCCCTTGCTACTGGTGTAAAATAGATAGCTTAAATTTTGAACTCGTGAAGTTACCCGACACAGCGCTCAGTATATACAAATACAAGGAAATTTTTCTAACCTGCTCACAGTCAGAGTTTTCTACGTATTGCCACTGGGCTAAAAACAGACAGAGCAAGTGACATAACGTCTGAGCGAGATCGGTTGCTTAAGTCGGGTGTAGTATTAGAGTTACATTGAATCTTTTGACCCTTTACTCAAGGGCATTGCTCGTTTTGGTTCTTTGCGAGAAGTATTTCGTCGATGCACGGTGCTCATGGAAATGATCTAGTCGTACGTGTAATTCGTGCACTATTCGAGTGGCTACCTAGGATAACCGTTTCTCTTACTTGACTACGAGACTGAGACGACTGCGCTGTCGGCGAAATTTACAGTACTTTCATACCTTATTTACACAGGAAGTAGAAGCCGTGTCAGTGTTATCACCTATCAAACACACGTTGTCAATGAGGGCAGGATATGCACACTGCCCTGGACGTACACTGAAACATGGCATAATTTCGTGAAACCGGGTATTAAGCCAGTGTCATTGGCACATCGACCTTATATTTAAAGAAATACGTTCGTTCAGCCAGCTTATTTCGATGCTCGCAGTACATAAAGACATGGTCACTTGAATTATTCATTTTTGCGCAAGTTTGAAGGGACCGCGTTAAGGCTTGGCTTTTAAAAATAATAAGGACACAATCGATGATAGATCAGTGAATGGAGACACATCGTTGGTACCATTCAGCGAGTTTCCGCTGTAACGAAGAATTATCACTTTCAAGGTCGGGAAGGTATACGAAACAAAACTTGTCGCTAAGTTTGACCTTATACAGGCTATTAAAATGCAGATCGAGTTTTTAATTGTCTAAGATGTGATTGAAGAGATATGTCTCGGTTACGAGCAAAGATGCGGCAACTGAATATACCACATTGTCTCTAGCCACGAACCCATGGCGATCATCGTCGTGTTAATTTTGCGTCAGTATTAACGTACTTTTAAAAGCGCATCATTCGGTTATCAATTTGCATACACGATAGAGAAGCCAGCTCGTCCTTATTGTGTATGGCCTTATGTATGGTGACTAGTGGATTTTTCCATGTGACGGCAAGTGAGGCATACGTGAGGTCCAGGTCGAATTCTTTCTACAGTTCTGCCGACGGTACTAGGGTGACCGTAGAAAATGCTGTCAGAAGAGTAGAACACACGTGTAGGAACTCGACGCTCAAATCGAAATAATGTTGACACTGAGTGAAAATGACAATGTATTTCATCAGCTGAATGTAACATGGTGGGAAACAAACGACTATATACCGGTAACACATCGGTACATATACTCCTGTATATATTTAATATGCAAAATGATCACACCGATGTTTTAAAAACTGCCCAAACACTTCGAAAAATTGGATGCGAAAGTCACTTGATGCTGTATTATATAGTTTTATATGTGAATAAAGTGGGGGAGTTGATATCAGGAGTTGTCTACTAAATACAGCAAAACTGTTCTCCATAGGAGGGGATGGAGTAAAATATTATGCCTGAAACACAAATTTCAATATTTACACCCATGCCCTTACCTCTACACCTATATGTTATATCCATCACGTGTGCCTATGAAGATATATAGGGTTCCTATATGCTTAGAATAAATGCAAGTACGCAACAAGCACACATAAATCACACGCAAATCATGTTGTTGCAATTATATATCATGCATACGTGTGATTTCGGGTTCCTAAATATAGTCAGCCTTCGCTTAAGGTTAACATAATTATCCAAAAGCAACACTGGTATGACAAACCATATGAATGATCAAAATTGAACGAAGATACCACCAGTGCGGAACAAATGCCGACATCCCACCCTTGCAGACCTATCTAGATATCAAGAGCATTACGGAGGCTTCCTTAAAAAAGAAAATCATTTTAAACATCAGAGTGAAATAAATAATCTATCGACATGTGGACCTATCTCTTGTCAGTCTGAAATGAATCGTGACGCATATATTAGTCATTTTTTTGCTGTCGATTTACATTCTTTTATTGTTATTCTTAGGTTTTAGTAAATTCTATAAAACAATAAGGCAAAGTATCCGCGGTACAGTTGTGGTGAATGTCTCAAACTCTGTCTTATTCGATAAATGCAGAACATTGAGATATTTGCTAACTTATGTACGTATGACAATTGCGATGGAGGGCCAACTACTAGCTGAGAAAATATTATAGCGATGGAAACTTTCTTCGGTAATCGTCATCCTATTTCCAAAACAGCTCGTGACTTTAGCCTACATATACATTGGCTTCGACAAAATATTCATAGTGCATTTATGCAAACATGGTTTATTTAATATAAGGATCGACGTCTCAGGATTTTTCGACGAAATAACGTTCAATCTATTGCTCTAATTTTCACACGCAGTTGAACAATAACAACATGCTTTCTCAAATGAAATCATTATCCATTTGTTCTGCATGCGGATCTATACTCGTCACTAATACTAGTAACAACTCCCAACTAATTTACTAACAATTACTGCGGCTGACGATGAGAAGAATTCTTGCTTCTATTTTAATGTAGCCCGAGTCTAATTCTCCATGTCGCGTCTACATCTTGAGCAGTTGATTGAAGAGCCCCCTATTGTACACGTTGCCACCCATATCTACCAGGTAGTTGATATAGCTGGTTTCTATGCGAACGGGCATGTACTGGCCAGCGCCCTGTCGCTCCGTTCTGGCTCTGAGTGCCTGGACTTTACTTACAGGCGCCGTGATCACCGTATTACCACCTAAAACTGAGAATCTCTCCACCATCACTTCCGCTCCGCCCTTCGCTAAGGTCAGCGACGCCACTGTGCGCTTTGGAATCTGCGGATGAAAGTGTAGGTACAAGGGGACTATGACTCAGAACTTGCCTAGGCGACGCATGGCATATATGCAACTCGATTCTCTCAGTGTATACTACTACGCAGAAAACAATCAATCTCAGCGCGATAGCAATAGAAAGCACCAAATGCAATAGAGCAAGCAGTTATCCCTTGCAGGCCATAATAGCAATAGAAAGCACCAAATGCAATAGAGCAAGCAGTTATCCCTTGCAGGCCATAACCCTATTGCAGCTGGTATAAATAAATACAACTCTTCAATTCGTTTGAACGAGTTCTTCGCCTCAGCAAATTCAAGCTAGGATATATGAGATACCTGAGATCAAACATCTGAATTTTACAGAACACTTGACATGGACAAAACCTGATATCAAAGCCACACGCAACGACCACATACCACGACTGCCAGTCCTGTGACGATGACCTGCACACCCACAAAGAAGGACGCAATCATCGCACGTTGCTGTGAAGGTAAGGTAGAAATTATCAGAGTAATAGGACGAGCCACACGCTTCAAATTATGCAGATCCAGGAAGATGAATTCTCCAAGATCGCAAGAATAGTTCGTGGAATATATTCGGACACATAGGAACAGACGGAAAATCATACACACTGGATTATTCAGCAGAAAACAAGTGTGGGAGGACTGAGACGTAGAAAAAGATGCAATGCATACATACATGTACATATAAAAATCTGCATTGATACGTGTCTGATAGAACAACAATTATATTCATCTGTAGGTGCATATTATATATATATGAATTGATGAATAGAATTTTCAGAATGGATGTGTATAAATTGATCGGTCTGTAAAACATATAATATTATTGTATTCCTAGTATACTTCATGTAAGCTCAACCCACACATACAAAATAACACGGGAAGTTATCAGAAAAAAGTGTATCATCATGTGCTGCCCAATTATAAATATGCACATAGAGTTTTAAGTAGGTCTTAATTCCAAGCTGGGTTCGACTTGGGGGCATCACGACCACAACTACCTGCTGTGATATACAGAGTATGGCTAGCCAAGATTGAACCGACACGAAATATAAACTCAACCTTAGATACCATACGTTCACGCATATGAAACCGTTTTTAACAATACTAAGCAGAAGGGACAGCTGTGAACAGCCGCATATACATTGTAGAGATGTGCGATAAGAGCAGCCGCGAACAGCAATTAGCACACTATGCAACTGAAGAGTATATATTCAAGGGCTGAAAATCAATTCGGAAATGAGACCATACCCAATAGGGTATTAACTCTCCCGATTCATTCCTCATGGCCTGGTCTAATGCCACTAACTCTTGCAAATCCTGCGTGCTAAGTGTGTCCACTGCATTCGGCTCTTCTTCTGCATCAGCACTGTATAGGATATACCATAGTTGCAGATAGTCAAGATATCAGTGCCAAGGTCGAGACATCAATATCAGTACAATCGAAGTGCTCAGTTTTATGCCCCATATTGCCTCGCAGATCGGTCGAATGAACTGTGCACTGGAGATGCGCTTGTGGGGAAACGGTGCACTCATCATGGTTTTACCGAATCAGTCGAATGACATCTGTCCCTAAACCTCAAACCCCAAAACATAAGACCATGGATAAAACGATATAGACTTTGACACATACTTATCATTGACTGTACTAGGCTCTTTGGTGTCTGATTCCATCTGCTTGGGGTTCGTTTCACTTTGCGCCGCCTCAATATTTGCAGCTTCCATCTGCAAAAATGAACGAACATTTAGGAAACAAATGTGAAATGCGTTGCAGTGCCAAAGCTTCATATGTGCGATTGTGCGTGTGTGGGAGATCGAACTTAGCAAAGGTTACAGGTGAATTCAAAACGTGTACATATGAAGCGGCATATATTCATAAGTGCGAATTCGTTGGCACTCATTCGCTTAAGATGTACATTTCCAATTATATGTTACTACATAAGGTGTACTAATTCTTACACCCTCATGTGAAGTCGCGTACTTTCGAGATGTTCTGCCTGATAGTACGGTTGTTCTTTTTGTGACATCGGTCTCAGATCAGTAATGCGAGTGTGCGGTTTCAAGCTTGCCTGACTTATATACGGGTACGACTTGTGGCAAATACTTCTCATTGATTTTCTTATTTTGCAAATAACAACTCTCTGTGCCCACAGATGGTCATACTTCTTTTAGGACGGTGATCCTTAGGCTTTGAAGCGCTTTGTATATAAAGTCGCAATTATCCGCCTACGTCAATGCGTTCAACTAGCTGTGACCCTGTCTTCTATCCAATGAACGTACGTGCGCTAGACTAATCACAAAGCAACTGACACAGCCTTCCGAACGACAGACAGCTTATCCGTTCCATCTGCTAAGGTTACCTGGATATATAAACGCTGAATACATAGTTCCTAACGATCATATTTTCTGTTTTGATATATTGGATCAATCGGAAAACCAGATGTGCCGCCTATACAGATATACAAATGTACGTGTGTACGTCTTTTAACGCACACATACCTCCACATGCAGTGGATTAGTCATCGGCATCTGGTCCTCAATGTCGTCGTATTTGGTCTCGCCCCCGAACAGTTTGTGCCGCCAGTCGTAGAGGTACCACATGACGTTTGTGTTATCATTCTCTCTCAGATCCAATGATAGGTAGGTCAGGTACGAGCTATGCAACGCAATACGTGGATGCATAGAATGAGGTCAATGTATGGGAATCGGTAGCAATACGACGCAACACATGCCGACCGAGTGGCTAGGATGCCTTCACGGAAGAGGACTTATGATTAGGTCTCATTTGCAAGATGATTGAATGGTAGTCTATTATAAGACACATTTATAAAGCAAAGGAATGGTGGTGTATTATAAGTTACATTTGTAAAGTAGTGAAAGGACAAACCAGTGACACAAAAAAAGGAGAGGGTGAAACCGATGTATTTCTATTTTGAGTTTATTTGCGTGATGGAATTCCGAAACATGATACAGCGATGAGAAAAGAAAGCGTACAGATGCACCTAAATGGAACTTAAAACTGTTCGCATCACAAAAGTAGCACATTCATCGCAAACAATATCCATTACAAATGGGCGAAGAAAAGTGCATACAAGGCTCTGACCAACACATAATAATTCCCCAATCTATAATCGAACAAGCGCATCGTCACCGAAAATTGATTATTTAGATGAACGCGACCAGCACTCCAATTCAGTAAAACACTAAAAGGTTAAAACAGCAACTCTCTACTATAGCGACAACACATATGTGCCAACTCATGGAGGATCCTCATAAAAAAACATAATAGAAATACGAACGCTCATCTCCAAGAAGGGAACTACGGGCAGCCAAAATCAACGAATTACTTATGAATTGATTATATGCACGTACATCCGAAATGCTCTGAATACGCATGCGATGTGCAAAATTAAAAACCCACTTAGATTCACGCAAGACACAAAGCACAACTGAAACCCTAAAAACCTTTAACCGATGGATGTGCACTATAACGTCACGAAGCGTACAACGAAACGGCCAGAACATCGTAAACGTATTTTAATTGAATACAAACATTGTAAACATATCGATTGCAAATAAGCTCAGACATTGCAAACGTATCGATTACAATTAAACTCTGAAATAAACTCTGATGTCACACTCCCAGCGTATACAATAAACAGTGCGAAGGCTAACTTCTCGCAACAATCACGACACACCAAATGCCATGCCGACGATTTGTACACAGTCGGCAATTTGTATAAAAAGAATGTACACAAAACAAGAAAGGGATACGTAAGCAGCAGGCAGAAGGCAGATACAAGCAGTAATGTAGACAAACAACTGCATAGTACTCGGATCACATAGTCGAAAGCTACAAGCAACACACATCCAAAGGCTACAAAGAACACATACGTGATGTAAGACCACACGGTGTATTCTATTTGCCCTCTTGTACTTTAATACGGTATGTTTTAAATGCAATGCCGTCTCGAGTGTCTGCTATTTTTAAACCCCTGAAATCGGAGCATTAGTACATACCAGAAGAACCCAGTGCTGACGAGGACCACAGACAGTCCACGGAATATATTCGGTCGCTCGGTAGAGTATAAAAGCACTTCACCTTCCGCCTGAGAATTCAATGAAAAGAGAACTGAGGAGATGGATAGCATGCGAAAGAAAACAGCCAATATGACGACTACTAGAAAACAGCAAATATAACGACTATTAGAAAACAGTCAATACAATGACTACTCCAATACATAACAGATATACCAGGTTCACCATCCAAATGAAGGCCATTATTATCTTTGGGCAAAGAAGAGTTAAAACCACATACGACCTACCGATCGCATTTTAAATTCTTTCGGCACGTCGCTTTCTGGTCTCGGAATTGATTTAATAAATTTAACTTTATTTCGCTTCGGTTTATAAAAACGCTTTTCAATCTGACACCTAGTGAAGAATAAAGTTGTGACAACAGAAGAAATGAGAAAGTTACACTGGAAATTGCACCAATGAAACAGGGGCACAGTGTATAATACTGTTCCTTATGTAGAAAGGGATTATGAGCACACAGGAAACAATACAAAAACACACATCCACACTTAACAATAAAACAGGCAATCTCTGAGCTTCGCCAGTGCAGTATATTTTTCCGCCGATGATAATCAAACGTATTGTCCTGTCCGCGGAGACACAAACACAAGTACGAAACATCTATCAACACGTGGAAAACTATATAAATATCTATATATATTAACATACATATTCATATATATTCATATATATATTTATATATTATACATATATAAATATATATATATAATGTATGTGTGTGTATGTATATATATGTATATATATATATATTATGTATGTGTGTGTGTATTTATGTATGTATGTATGTATATATGTATCTAGGGTTTAACATACATACATACATCCATACATACATAGAAAAGCATAAATACATACATACATACATACATACATACATGCATACATACTATTTATATATATATATATGTACACACATAAGTATATATATATATATATATATATATACTAACCTAACTATATAAATAATAATATATATATATATATATATTATATATATATATATATATATAATAATATATAGTACGTACTAACGTAACTAACTAACTAA